GGGGCGTGGCCTAAGTGATGTCATCATTCGACCATAGGGTATTGTAGGACACCCGATGATGATCAATCACAGTAACTTTGGTGCCTCTGTGAGTTTCTGTGTAGGAAATATAGCAGTTTATGTTTTTATGGCGTGTAGGTGAACTTTGACCCCTGCTAACCCCCTTTCAGCATTCTCAAAAACTCACCGTTTTGATAACTTCAGATGGGACATGCCTTATTAACGGACTGACCGAGTTTGAAGACGATCAATCAAAATCCCTAGGAGGAGTTCGATCAAATACGGAGGCTGTAAACAGCAAAAATGGTGTCAAAATCTAAACTTCAATCTAAAATGGCCGACTTCCTGTGGGGTTTAGACCATGGCTCCAAGAGACTTTTTTGTAAGTCCTGACAAGGTATACATGTGTACAACGTTTCGTAATTGTAGGTTAAAGCATGGCTTGGGGCTGATCATTTAAAATTTTCTAGGGGGCGCTATAGAGAAATTAGGCCACGCCCCACAAATATTGTGATGGATTCCTGTCGGGGAGTTGATGGCGATCCATCCTTGTGAGTTCGGAGCAGCTGGGCCCGAAAATGTGGAATTGAGAGCCAAACGTATGGCGATGGCGTTAGAGGTCACTTCGCCACGCCGCCACGCCCACCTGCTCCATCGAATCTGGTCGTGGTTGGAATCCTCCACACCAACATGTCTTCTGTGTCTGCACAGTTTCATGTTGATGAGGTCAAAGGGGTCAGATAGCGACCGTCCACAGTAAAACATGACACTTCCTGTTCTCATGGGGCGTGGCCTAAGTGATGTCATCATTCGACCATAGGGTATTGTAGGAGACCCGATGATGATCAATCACAGAAACTTTGGTGCCTCTGTGAGTTTCTGTGTAGGAGATATAGCAGTTTATTTTTTTATGGCGAGTAGGTGAACTTTGACCCCTGCTAACCCCCCTTCAGCATACTCAAAAACTCACCGTTTTGATAACTTTAGATGGGACATGCCTTATGAACAGACTGACCGAGTTTGAAGCCGATCAATCGAAATCCCTAGGAGGAGTTCGATCAAATACGAAGGTTGTAAACGGCAAAATGGCCCCAAAATTGGACTTTCAATTCAAAATGGCTGACTTCCTGTGATACTTGCACTATGACATTAATTGTAAATTTTGAGCATCTTGGGGAGCTCTACAAGTGTACCAAATTTCATGTCTCTAGGATAAAGTAAGTGAATAGCAAAGGGTCCTTTGAAAATTTGTAGGTGGCGCTATTGAGCCATTTTTTATAGGATTTTTTGCAATGACCTTAAAATACAAAATTTTGAAACTCCCTTTACGCGTCCGCCAAGTTTGGTGAGTTTTTGAAAATGATAAAGCCCCCAAAAAGGCCCCTCTTTAGGGGGGCAGAATAATAATAAGAAACAGTAGGAAAACAATAGGCCTTCGCAGCGCTTAGCTGCTCGGGCCTAATAATAAACAATAGGAAAACAATAGGCCTTCGCAGCGCTTAGCTGCTCGGGCCTAAAAATGTGGAATACTTTCCATTTTGGTAAAAGGACAATTTAAGGTTCTCCACACATAAGGTCACATATAAAATTCATATTTATATAATGTATAAGTTATTAATGACTTATTTTAACTGAGATGAGTCACTTTGAAAATAATTCAACTTCAAGACTAAAAAGGAACCAACTAAGTATTCAAATGCTATAGTTAATGAGCAGTGGGCGGTCGCCTGCTCCTGATTGGCTCAGCTCTTCACTGGTCACGTTTTCCTTGAATGGAAAACTCCAACCCAGAATCAACGTCACCGATTGGCGTCATTGACCGCCTGAACAGAGTCTTTGAATGTAGACCCTCTGCGCTCATTTGGTCACTAACCATTTGCTTTGTCTTTCAGGTAAAAACTTTAAAAAAAACACTAAAAACCTTAAAGATAGGATAGGTTATCCTTTCTTAAATGATCAAGCATCGATATGCAGGATCAACAGATCATGTTTAGTCCGGGTCTTTATTTACAGTCATGTATGTAAAGGAGGATGATATTTGCTCCCTTGACTCTGGTTCTGATCCGCTGCTCCCTAAACAACCGGACACTTTTTATACTTTTTCTTCTTCCTCCCAGCATCTAAACGTTGCTTTCTACTGCAGTATTTTTCAACCTTTTTTGAGCCTAGGTACATTGTTTTTCATTGAAAGAATCAAGAGGCACACCACCAACCAAAAATCTAAACAAATGAAAGTGTCTTGAATAGGAATTTGTATCATATTTTATATTAGATATTTCAAATTGCATTTAACATGTCTACTTCAAAAGTGCGCCTGATCAGTGGCACAACAATTTAAATTTAAGACCACATTGTTCACACGACTAATTCTGACCAGAATATAGAAATAATTCCTTTTCTGAGAGAAGCAATAATATTTGGAAAAGAAAAAGCTCACGGTATTTGCCTTCCGTTGATATCCACTGTAAAAAATATCCGTAGATTTTACAGTTAAAGAAAGTAAAAAACGAAAATTTAATACCGTAAATTGGAAATCAGTTTAATGCTGTTTATTTAACAGGTAATTACCGTAAATAAGATAATTAAGAAAATATGTAAATTTTACAGTTTTTTTTCCATAAAATTTACATTGCACTGCTGTAAAATAAATCTGGTAATACTTTTAACAGTAAAATTCCGTAATTTTTCTAGTAGTACATACTGTAGTTTTTCAATTTTCTTTTGTAAATAATACAGTTAGTATCTGTTAAAAATGCATACTGTTGTGACAATTACAGAAACATACTGTAATTTTTCTAGCAATGTATACCGTACTTTTTGCATTCAATAATTATAAAGTATACAGTTCAAAACTGTTCAATATGCATACTGCTGTGGAAATTACAAAAATATACTAATATTTTTCTAGCAGTGTATTTTGTAATTTTTAAATTTAAGTAATCTAAAGTATACAGTTCTAAACTGTCAATATGCATACTGTTGTGGAAATAAAAAAAATGTAGTAGTGCTGTAACCTTTGCATTTAATTCTCCTGATTAATACAGTTGGTAACTGGTAAATGGGCTTGCTTTTGTGGCAATTACAGAAATACGCTGCAAAGATTTGAAGAGTCAATGCTGTAATTTTGGGGTTTTTCTCATAAATTTACATATGCTCATGGGGATAACAGAAATATGCTGCACATTTCTTGCATACCTTCACTTAAGAAATTATGCCTTTAACTGTAAAGAGTATTGGTTATGGGGAAAATATACAGACCCTTTCTAAAAATTGTAATAATCAAAAATCTATTTAATAATTCCATTCAAAAAGTTTAACTTTTCATGGAGTCAGTCTTAGTTCATGGGCCAACAGGGCCCCCTGCACCTGGTCCGCGCGGACAGGCGCAGTGTTGCTCTGGCGGTACTTTGGAAGCGGTCGATTTGAACGGACCAATCAGCGCGCTGCATTTGAGGACCCGTCGCACTCGGTGATTGGCGTTTTTGTCCAACTTCCGCTCAGATTGTGCAGAGACTTCATCATCCAACCTTCTCCATCTGATCGGCTCTCGTTCTCAGGTAAGGAAATATTGCGGAAAATTTCAGAAAACAAATAGTTGAATTGCTTTCGGTTGGTTGAAAAGACATTTCAGGGGAAACGAAGAAAAAAAAAACGTTGTTGAAAGTTAGCCTCTCTACAAAGCTATTGCTAACATCGGTTTTGTATCGCCATTGCTGTAAGCTATCCATCGAAGTAATATATTTAAGTTGTATTCATGCAACCTGTGTGCAGAACCAGTTAAATCTGTTAAAGCCTTTGTTCTCCATTGCAAACTGCATCGCAACGAACCGAGGCGTAAGTTCAAGTGTGTTGCGGCCGGTTGCAAGCAGGTGTGTTCTGGTTATGCAGAATTAAAATATCGTCATCATAATAGCATGCCAACAGTTGCTCTGGACACAAGTGTAACGAAATGAAAATGCACAGTTCCACTTTGTAAATGGCAGTGTGAAGGGATAAAAATTTTGGTTGTTCACTTGAAGGAGCATATAGTAGAGGGGCGTCAAGTAACTTGCCCTGTGAAAGAGTGCACCTCTGTGTTTCGTGTAAAATCTTCCTTTACCTCTCACATCTCCAGGAAACATAAAAATTATTTTGAAAATGTGATTTGTCAAACAAGTAATGAAGATACTCAGAGTGCTTCAAGTGCTACCAAAAAAAGATTCCAGTGTGCATTATCATCTTACATAATAGATGGGAATCGGTTTGTACCATTAAAGAATAGTGTTTTGGCAGTGTAAAGGCTTGCTTTTACACTTTTTAATGGTTCAGAGATCAACCTTTTTTAGTTTTCTGTATTTCAACAGATATGATGGATACACAAAAGGACATTCGTGATGCCATTCGAGCAGTGCTTCCTGGTCTTTCTCAGGAGGTTTTGGCTGCTTTAGAGGATGTGTTGGAAAACTGGGCACTACAACCGCAGATGATTTCCAGTATATCACCGAAGGAGACAAATTGCCTGTGCTGAAGCCCATACAGGCCAGAAGACTGGTTGCTGCATGGGCCCAAAATAGTATTTTGAGATAAAGTCTTGTGTAACTTTTGCACATTGTAAAAGATGAAAAATTGTAACAGTAAAAAGTACATGTACTTGTATATATTTATGTATAACTTAATTTGATATGACCAGTTGATAAGATATTTCAAGATAATAGCAGTTTTGACACTTAAGCATATTGTGTATATCTTTTTGATAAACATTCTTTTTTTTTTTCTTACCAAAAAAGTTTAGACTTAATGTTTTTCAATTTTATGCGTTGTACCTTTCCAGACTCAATGGCTTCAACTTCAGGCAGGGCATCCTCCTCTCCACAGTCAGTTCAATCCTCTCAACCTGCAGCCTCACTTTCACAACCATCATCTGCTGATACTTCATCGCCTTCCCTGAGCTGCTCCCAGTTTTGCCAACCTGGGTTGACAGTTTTCAGATACCGTGGCAGAAGCTTCCAGAAGAACTGATACAGACTTTGGAACGACAGAAAAGGCCAAGTGCACGACTTCGAAGACAAATGGTGAGGATTATTGTCTCTGAAATGATGCTGATTTGCAAGAATCCTACCAAACGCGACACTACTGAAATAGCAGAAAGGATGGTGAGCAGGTATCCAAAGTCACTTAAGGACATCATTGATGGTGATGTTATTGGACTTGGTTATCATTCCCTGGTAAAACAACTCCAGGCAAGAATTGAAAATGTCAAACGACAAGACACACCAAAGATAACTAAACGCAAGGCGGAATCAGATAATGACACTGATGAGATACCTGCTGAGCAGAAAGCCAGTGTTCAAGACACGTATGGCTGTGTCAACTGGGCGCCAAAGTTTTTGCCCCTTTCTGAGACAGTAGAGAGTCAGCTTAAGAAAAAATAAGACATGAAAAAGATGTTCAAAGACAAAAAATATGCTGCAGAAGATGTGAAAGAACTTATCAAGTCCACCTATTACACGCACCGAAAGGACATCATTAAAGGTACAAGCATCCTGACGCTATGCCAAGAAAGGCCTTTTTTGTTCCATGAAACTGGCATGGAAGAACACTTCCAGCAACTTACTGGCATCAGTCTGACGGAAGCCTTCTTCACCAATCTGGACAAAAAGGCGGAGCGCATCCTCAACTCTCTCTTCAAGTTAGCAAGTGAAAAAGGTCAATCCAGTGGTTGTACAGAGATGATTCTTCTTCTACTTGCTTTTTTTGGTGAGAAGGAAGAGCAAATGTTCCACTATGTTGAGAAGACCAGCCTTGCTGAAGAGGTTGAGATGGAGGATGTGCCAGCAACACCCTGCCTTATTGTGTGTGGTATGTATGAACCAAGTTGACAAAGTAGTTGAATGGTTCACACAGGGGCTTTTTGTGATATATATTTGTTCATGTTTTTTATTCAAAGGGTCCTCTTGCTTCACTGCGAACTGCTTCATGTTGAGTATTGATCAGAAGATTATCAATGACCACATCACTGCCTTCTCCTGTGCCATCTGCCTGATGTTTGGCAGTTACTACTGTTTTAATATACACTACCTAGTGGGACTGCGGTCAACACTGAGTTCCTCCAGAGGTAATTCTTATACTTACACAGTGTCTATATTTACCAGCAAGATGAAGTTTTCACATTATAGATCAGAATGTTACTAGTTACTGAAATATAATAAATACAAAAGACAATTGAAATGGAGGGTAAAAAACTGCTAAATCTAAATATTCATGATAGAAATAATGCCAGTAGAAACTACGAAAATGTTTTATCATTTCTTTGCAGTGTTTAAATTGTATATTTTTTATGGCCATGGACACAGAAGAGTTCTTCAGTCTGTTTGTGAAGCAGAATAGGCACAAAAGCCTGTCACTAAATATCCCTCTGGCTCTGCCACTGAATCCAGCCACCACAAAGCTGGATCTCGTGATATCTTTCTCTTAAGTCATTTATAAACATAACATTAAATGCAATAAAATTTCTTTTCTTCAAGGTGTTTATTTTCAATTAATCCAGAGAGAGGAACAAAAGTTGAGCATAGCAAGAGGAGGAAGATCTTTGCGGTCAACCCAAGAGTCCTCACACTCATCGCTGACCTTGCAGACCATGAGTGGACTTAGACCATACTTTGTTAGTCATGTGATATGATGTGTAATGTTGTTATGTTGCTGTATGTTGAAAACTGCATTTTATTGGTATTTAAGGTTTACACTGTAAGATTTCAAAATTTTCATCTTCATGTTAAATGTTGCAAATTTATGTTAGACATTTTTTTCTATATGTAAATAGCAGATGACAATGAAACCGATTTTATGCTGCACCACTGTCAAGGCTTAATGAATGTGGTGATTTACAAGTTACAAGTCAAAAAACCTGACAAACGTGAACAGTTCTATACCTATTTCAGAAAGGTTACAGTGGTGGCCAGCACATTTGTTAGAAAGTTCTTATTTCTGTGTATGTGCCAATTTCATATGGATTATTCATTTGAAACACTGCACCAGGATTGAAGTGATAATGTTGTGTCATATCTCTTCAAACTTTTGCACTAATGTAAGTGCTTGCTGCTTTTTGGAAGATGTGTTACAAGTTCTTTGTAATCAGTGTGCACAGAGTTGTGAGAAGTTTGTACAGCCCAAAAAGTTTTTATTAAATGGAAAAAATACAATAAAGTTTGGTTTTTGGATATTTTATGTAAAATTTGCTTATACATTTCCATGTTTTTACTATTAGACTACACTGGTAACACATTATTTAGCTGATATAATCGATTTGATAATTTTACAAAGTAAATTTGCACTTCTCAATTTAACAATTTGCATTGTAAAAAAAAAAAAAAAAGTTTCATTTTTACGGTAAAATACTGGCAGCTGTGGTTGCCAGAATTTAACCGTAAAAATTACAGTCAGCTAATTTTTACAATTGCTGATTCTACAGTAAAAAAAATTGTGTTTTATTTAACCTTTTACTGTAAAAATGACAGTTTTTACCATTAAAATTGATCAAGTTTTATCCTAAAATTTACATTAAATCAATATTACAAATACACTGAATTCCTGTATAATTACAGGGTTTTGTCTGTAATTTAAAAAAAGTATACTTTTTAAATTACAGACAAAACCCTGTAATTATACAGGACAGTTTTTTTTTACAGTGTACTAAGTTCTTCATCTGGGTCTGAATTTAGCTTTTTTCTTTTCAAAACTTTCCATCACTGTCATCACAGTCTTGCTTGGTACAATGCTCTCACCGCTTCCTGTCACATTCATGCATCACTAATTCTCTTGTTTTAACGTACAGTGCTGTGTACCTACTGCCATCCTGTCATCAGGAAATTACATGATGACGCCGCTAGTCACTATACAACACAGACTCTCGGAAATGGCATATTATTTGCAGTCAATTTGTTTTCAAAAAATCGTTTTAGACCAATTTAGTGAAATTGAATAATTTCCACGGGACACTAGTTGAAAAACGTCTAGATATGTATAAATATATATAATGAAAACATCATAGTAATTTTTTTATCCAGTCTTTGAATGTAGGTTATCTCCGATAATTTAGTCACTTTCTGTTTTCTTTCTCGTATCTATATTTGTATTTGCAATAAACTAAATATTCTACTATCGTATCTAATGCAGTTTATTAAATTGACCACTGCAGGAATTATGAACAGTCTTAAAATAAGCCGAAATAAATTTGACAACAATGTCAATATCACAGTCAAACTAAGAAGAAAACGAACTCTGCCCAGATTTGAAAATATTTTACTTGGAATATAGAACCATAAATCCTTTTAATTTAAAAAAAGACCGAAGCCAATTGATTTTTAAAGTATCGTTCGTTCAATCATGTGTCATGTGACCATAATCACATGACACAGACCCCCTTGTCATCGGGGGTCTAACGGGCCTTTCATGACCCGACATTTCCCCTGAACAGTGCATAGCTTGTAAACTTAAGAAAAGGTAAACCGATCTTAAAGTCCATTAAGTCTCTAATAGGCTTCGTGTTTTCAAGCTTGCAGTCGTCCATCTTCAAACTGATTACATTACATTTTTTTATTAAGTGAGATTTATGTTTCCATAGAAAAATAATAATCCAGTTGTTGGAATTAATTGCAGAAATGTGTATTCCTAATGCATGTGCAGTGTAGGTAAATCTGGAAATACTTTCCATTTTGGTGAAAAATATTCTACGCAGAATAGATAAATCTCTGCTATTACAGGCCCAACCTTTCCTAGGGGGCAGTAGAGAGCAACGTGTGGACGCTGCAGCGAGCAGAACCGATACGAGTTTGTTTCCAGAGTCCAGTGATCAAATATCATCCTCCTTTACATACATGACTGTAAATAAAGACCCGGACTAAACATGATCTGTTGATCCTGCATATCGATGCTTGATCATTTAAGAAAGGATAACCTATCCTATCTTTAAGGTTTTTAGTGTTTTTTTAAGTTTTTACCTGAAAGACAAAGCAAATGGTTAGTGACCAAATGAGCGCAGAGGGTCTACATTCAAAGACTCTGTTCAGGCGGTCAATGACGCCAATCGGTGACGTTGATTCTGGGTTGGAGTTTTCCATTCAAGGTAAAACGTGACCAGTGAACAGCTGAGCCAATCAGGAGCAGGCGACCGCCCACTGCTCATTAACTATAGCATTTGAATACTTAGTTGGTTCCTTTTTAGTCTTGAAGTTGAAATATTTTCAAAGTGACTCATCTTAGTTATTGTAAGTTCTTCACAGCGTCTTCATCACATAAATATGTATTTTATATGTGACCTTATGTGTGGAGAACCTTAAATTCTCCTTTTACCAAATGGAAAGTATTCCACATTTTATTCATTTATTTTTATTGAACATTTTTTTATGATGTTATGTCTTAAAATGATGTGTGTGTCTTTAGCCTGTAAGATTTTATTACTTAAGTGCATGACACGTGATCTTGTAAAATGGTTCAAAGTGTTTAATAATTAAAAAGAAAAAAAAAGCAACTAAGTATTCAATCGCTGTAGTTAATGAGCAGTAGGCGGACACCTGCTTCTGATTGGCTCATCTGGTCACTGGTGACGTCATCCTTAAATGGGATACTCATTCAAGGATCCTTGAATGTTAATGACGTCAGTAGGTGACGTCATTTACGTCACCCATTGACGTCATCGACCGCCTGAACAGAGTCTTTGAATGTAGGCCCTCTGCGCTCAATAACTTTTCCTCTCCATTGATTGGACCAGAAGCTCTCATCAGCCTCATCAGTGAGTTTCTTTTGTATATTTTTACAAAAACATAAATATTGCCTTTCTTTTAATACCATCTCTCCAACCCCTAACATTTAAAGGGAAGATTCAGAAAAAATGAGGAGAAGGAAACTGAACCTCTGGCGTTCAGGAAAAGGTCAGAATGAAGCACCGACTCTCTTAAACTGAATCCAGAACAACTGACCTCCAACCAAATAACGAGATTATTAACATTGCCATTTGAGACAGCCTTATTTATTAATTCGGCCGATGTTTCTAAATGTTAGAAAACAAAAGACGACGCGCGACGTCCACTGCGTTGTCAGTAGACGAGGCCCAGTGCTTTGCGATCTCATTGAGATGTCTGTGATTTTCTTTGCGGGCATCTTCGTTATTCTTTTCCTTGAAGCCCTGAATTTTTCAATTCCAGCGCCGTGTCGGTGATATATGATATAGAAATATAAAAACAAAATAGATTTCTAAGTCTTCATTATAGTATTTTTATAGTATTTAAATGTAAATTAGCTACCTACATTGCTAGTTCATATAATATATAGTTACAATACATAAAATACATACTTTTACTGCCAAAGTTTTAATTTATAGGTTTTATTTTGTATTATTTATACTTTTTGTTAAGACTCTTATTTTGAAGGTTTAAGGTAGGAAGTAGATGTAGAAGCGTCTGGTTACCAGGTTACCAGAGACGCTTGCGATATAACAGCATCGCGTTGGCAAGCAAATGAAGAAGCATGATTTAAGTGTAAGAATTTACTGAATGACCTCATTTCTACCTCAAAAGGAAGGGTTAGCCAGCGAGGTATGTTTATATGTTTTATGTTATTTTTATATCGATATTGTATTCTTGACACCATCTCACTAAGTTTACGTTGTGTTTTAGTTCGACGGTGGTGTTGGTGTCAGGGAAACTGAAGCTGTAATAAGAACAACTTTAAAGAGTTTCATTAAAGCTGACTTCACACCAGCAGTGCGACGAACTCTTAATTGCCAAAAAGAAGAGAGGTGGAAGTGATACATACTTATATATAAGTTATTAATGACTTATTTAACTGAGATGAGTCACTTTGAAAATATTTCAACTTCAAGACTAAAAAGGAACCAACTAAGTATTCAAATGCGGGAGCGACAGAGAGTTTGCTTTCCGGGTGAGCGACGCTGACACGCGAGTGGACGACATCAAGAGGAGAGGTCTGATGGTGGACGCTGGTGCGACGTCGCATATAATCACCGACATCGGGAAGTTTCGGAAGCTTGATGAAAGTTTCCAGGCCGAGACGCACTGCGTGGAATTGGCTGATGGATCCAGGTGTTTTGGTGTTGCCAAG